GGACACTTTCACCCCCCTTCCAGTCCGGACACTTTCACCCCCCTTCCAGTCCGGACACTTTCACCCCCTTCCAGTCCGGACACTTTCCCCCCCTTCCAGTCCGGACACTTTCACCCCCTTCCTGTCCGGACACTTTCCCCCCCTTCCAGTCCGGACACTTTCACCCCCTTCCTGTCCAGGCCAATTTTCAGCTTTCAGCGCTATCACACTTTGAATGAGAATTGCGCGGTCATGCAACTCTGTACCCATATGCATTTTTTTAGCATTTTTGTGAGACAGATAAAACTTTATTTTGGTGGTATTTATTCACCGCTGGGATCGTTATTTTTTTTCTATAGAAATGAAAAAGTCCAAAAATGTTGAAAAAAAAGTGTTTTTTTTCTTATAACATTTTGAAAAGAAATATATAATCTTTCATCATAAATCTTCGGCAAAATTTATTCAGTTATCTTTTTAGTAAAAAAAATATAACCCAAATTAGTTTATAACCAAAAATTCAACATTTTTTTATATTATTATTTAGGTTTTCTTTTTTTTTTTTTACATACTGTCACCCTAGCAGTACAGTGTCACCATGGTGACACTGTACTACTTGTAGGGGGTGATGAAGCCTGTAAAAGCAATCATTTCTCCTTCTCTCTGGCTGCATTCATGCAGCCATTGAGAAATACTGTGAGAGCAGTGATTGGTCACAGCTTGTCACATGGTACAAGGCTGTTGTTAATAGCCCTGTACCATGTGACCTCTGTGATCATTCACAGATTTCACACGTAGTAAGCAATGATGTCAGAAGTGACATTTTGCTTACTACTATTCATGTGATCACTGATTGGCCAATCAGTGATCACATGATTTGGAGCTCACACAGAGGTCCCGAACAGCGATCAGAGTTCCAGAGGACACAGCAGGCAGCAGATTGTGGTGCTGCGCGCTCCCAGGGAGCACGTGCAAGAATGGAGCAGGGAGGACATTTATAAACGGCCACCTGACCCTGCACTGCCACTATCTGGCCGTTTATATACATGGTCCGGACGGAAGGTGGTTAATGGCCATAAGATGGAGCTGATGATAATAGGAAATAAACTTACTACTGATGCACCAATGTATTGGCCAATAATAATGTTATCAGTGTTTTGCCGATAGAAAGAAAAAAACAAAACAAAAAAAAGTGCCGATAATGATAATTGACTTCAATGCAAAATCGCGTCCCATTGACTTCAATGCAAAATCGTGCCCCACCCCTATTGACTTCAATGTAACATCACATCCCCAAAAGACTTCAATGCAAAATCGCGTTTCCTATTGTCTTCAAGACAAAATCGCACCCCATTGACTTCAATGCAAAAATCACAAAAACTAACGGTGCTGTGTATACAATTTTTTTATGCTCTTTCCATGCAAGAAAAACCTACCATTGAAGGCCCGCTCATTAGATAACTTTGAACCTTTATAAAACGGCAAAATAAGAACCTCCAGGAAAGCGTGGCATCTAAACTCGGACGACTCAATTGCCACGGAGCGACAAATAAAAAAAGCTGAATTCACCTCCCAGCAGATAACTTTACAAACTAAAAGATCGCTCACCCGATGTACTCGGTGCCTCCGGTTCTGGTCTTTGAAATGCTACAAAATAAAAAGCCGAAAGATACAGCGCTCTAAGCAGCGGGGTTCAAACCAAGCCAAGCTTCTTCTGAAGACGACTGAAACTTCGCCAGCAAATCAAAAGACATCGGCCTGCAGTAACCCTCTCTGAACCTTCGAACAATGGCTTCACAGTAAGAAGAGTTACAAGAAGGAAGTCGAAAAAGAAGATGCTCCGGTCAGCTCCATGGAAATATTCCGGAATTGAACCCTTTCCCAGCTACGTAGCTGAAAAAAAAAAAAAGATTTTTAGTAAACTATATTAATATTATATTATATTGAAGAGAGAGGGCCACTAGCCCTCCAGAGGACCCCCCTCCCCCCCCCCCTTCCTGACCAGGCCATTTTTTGCGATACAGCGCTGCGTTACTTTAACTGACAATTGCGCGGTCGTCGTGCAACGCTGCACCCAAATAAAATTTATGTCCCCCCCACAAATAGAGCTTTCTTTCAGTGGTATTTCATCGCCTGTGTGGTTTTTATTTTTTGCGCTATAAACAGAAAAGTCCAACATTTTTGAAAAAAAAAATATTTTCAATCTTTTGCTAGAAAACATTTATAGTAAAAAAAAATGTAAAAAAAAATCAAATGTCTTCTTGAGGCCAAAATGTATTCTGCTCCATGTCTTTGCTACAAAAAAAAAAAAAAAAATATATATATATATATATATATATACACATACACACACACGCTCTATATACACACACATTTGCATGCATACATACATATATACATAGATATACATACACACACACACACGCTATATACACACACATACATACAGTTGTGTTGAAAATACTAGCAGTCAGACATCACTAACCTGATCAATCACTGTTTTTGGTGGAAATGATATTTCTACATGGCAAATAATTTCCTAGCAGGTGTAGTAGAGTAATAGAAATCCAACAGACCCAACAGTCATGACATGCATGCTGCTGATTCTGTGTCATTGAATCACTCATTGAAAGGGGCGTGTTCAAAATAATAGCAGTGTGGAGTTCTATTAGTGAGGTCATTCATTCTTTGAAAAACAGGTGACAATTATTGCCCTTATTTAAGGAAGGAAGGCAGCAAATGTTGTACATGCTGGTTACAGTGCATTTCTCTCTGAAATTCTGAGGAAAATGGGTCGTTCCAGACATTGTTCAGAAGACAGCGTACCTTGATTAAAAAGTTGATTTGGAGAGGGAAAAACATATAAAGAAGTGCAGAAAATGATCGGCTGCTCAGCTAAAATGATCGCAAATGCTTTAAAATGGCAACCAAAACCTGAAAGACGTGGAAGAAAGCGAAAAACTACCATTGGAATGGATAGAAGAATAGCCAAAATGGCGCGGACTCAGCCAACAATCAGCTCCAGGAAGATGAAAGAAGGTGTGACGTTCCCTGTGAGGACTGTTACAATTAGAAGACGCCTATGTGAAGCCAAGCTATCTGCAAGAAGCCCCCGCAAAGTCCCACTGTTGGGAAAAAGATGTGCTGAAGAGGTTACAATCTGCCAAAGAGCACATTGACCGGCCTAAAGAGAAATGGCGCAACATTTTGTGGACTGATGAAAGTAAGATTGTTCTTTTTGGGTCTAGTGGGCGGAGACAGTTTGTCAGACGACCCCCAAAACACTGAATTCAAGCCACAGTACACTGTGAAGACAGTGAAGCATGGTGGTGCAAGCATCATGATATGGGGATGTTTCTCATACTACGGTGTTGGGCCTATTTATCGCATACCAGGGATCATGGATCAGTCTGAATCCATCAGAATACTTGAAGAGGTCATGCTGCCTTATGCTGAAGAGGAAATGCCCTTGAAATGGGTGTTCCAACAAGACAACGACCCCAAACACACCAGTAAACCTGCAACATCTTGGTTCCAGACCAACAAGATGGACGTTATGGAGTGGCCAGCCCAATCCCCAGATCTTAATCCAATAGAAAACTTGTGGGGTGACATCAAAATGCCGTTTCTGAGGCAAAACCAAGAAATAGAGAAGAACTGTGGAATGTGGTCCAATCATTCTGGGCTGGAATACCTGATCACAGGGGCCAGAAGTTGGGTGACTCCATGCAACACAGATGTACAGCAGTTCTCAGAAACAGTGCGACTACAACCAAATATTCATGAAGTCATTCAAAGGAAAGCAAAATCTTCAAACATTTCTCAGTTTATATAGTGAATGTTTGAGTTTGTAAAGAAGAATACAAACACTGAGATTTTTTTGAGCCGTCTAATATTCACTTTTTTCAATTGTTTTAGAGGAACAACACAAATTTGATGTATTTTTCTTCATATTTTGATTTGGAATAGAATGTGTCGTGTTCCCAATGCATTTGTGTGGATGGAAATAAAAGCTATTAGAAGGATTTTCAGCTTTATTCACTTTTTTCAACACACTGCTATTATTTTGAACACACACATACATACACACTACATACACACTGCATGTTGAAATGCATTTTTGTTATAAAATATATGAAAAATATACTGTATGTCTTTAAAATACAAATCTCCATTTTTGGAATGCCTTTACAAATAAAAAAATAAGTTCTGGGGAAAGTCCCATGTAAAGCACAACTTTCCTAGCAAAATGAACAGCCTCTTTGCCTTTAGTAAATCAGCTCCACTGACAATAGGAGAAGTTCACCACTTTGATGGGAGGGAGAGGAGGGAGAGTGATTTACTAAAGGCGATTCAGCTGTCCACTTTGCAAGGGAAGTTGCACCAAAGCTTACTGATTGAGGTGACATTTGTGCGATTACATATAAGCACAAAAGCGATTTTTATTATTTTTACTTCCTTGCGTGTGATTGGGTATTTAGTTGTAAAGCAAAACTTCACATTTACTAACCTCTGGGGCAAATTCCCTTGCAAAGTGAACAGCTATTTGCCTTTAGTAAATTGACCCCTGTGCTTCGTATTACAACCATAATTAGGGTGCAACATAAAACATGGTCAGAGTCTGCAGCACCCCTCTTACAGAATCTGGTGGTCCTGCTCCTCGCCCAATTCTAACGGTTTTTAACCGCCTCCCGTCCGCCATATAGTGTAATAATGGGCACAAGGCGGTTCTCTCGATCTGGGAGGATGTCATATAAACGTCGTCCCATTCTAACAGTGCATGTGCGGCTCCGGTAGCGCGCAGCGCGGCGATCGGTGGTGCTCACCGATCGACGGAAAGAGCTGCAGATGTCGGCTCGGTCATGTAATCAGCTGTGTCCAATCACAGCTGATCGCATGTAAATAGGGAAATGCCAGTTATCGGCATTTCTCTTCTCTCTAGCGGTCACACTGACAGAGGAGAGGAGAGCCGGTAGCCGGCATTCCTCGGAGGGGACATGTGCACTGATGAGCAGTGTGCCCTGATGATCAGTGTAGCCCCAGCAGTGCCACCTGTCAGTGTCCATCAGTGTCAGCTGTCAGTGCTCATCCATGCCACCTGCCAGTGCCCATTAGTGCCACAAATCAGTGCCTACCAGTGCACATCAATGCCACATATCAGTGCCCATCTGAGCTGCCTTTCAGTGTCACCCATCAGTGCCACCTATCAATGCCAGTCAGTGCCACCTATCAGTGCTGCCAATCAGTGCCACCTATCAGTGCCAGTCAGTGCTGCCTTTCAGTGCCCATATGTGAGTGCTGCCTTTCAGTGCCCATCAGTGATGCCTGTCAATGCCCATCAGTGCCACCTATCAGTGTCCTTCAGTGCAGCCCATCACTGCAGCCTCATTAGCGCACATCAACGAAGGAGAAAAATCACTTATTTACAAAATTTTAGAGCAAAAACTAAGAAAAAAAATGTTTTTTTTTTTTTTTTTTTTTTCCCCAAATTTTCAGTGGTTTTTGGTTTAAGAAAAAATAAAAACCCAAGGGTGATTAAATACCACCAAAATAAAGCTCTATCTGTCTCAAAAAAATAAAAATTTCATATGGGTACAGTGTTGCATGACCGCGCAATTGTCATTCAAAGTGTGAGAGCGCCAAAAGCTGGAAATTGGCCTGGGCAGGAGGGGGGTATAAGTGCCCTGTAGGCGAGGGGTTAAATTCAGGGTGGCTGTGTGTGGCATCTGTCAGCTAAACAAACTACAAACCCCATCTACCCCCATGGCAGAGGATCTCATGGGCTCCCGATGGAGCCTCACTGCGCTGTAGTGCACTGATACTTCCATCGGCTCCGTCACTGGAGGCCCCCGCCTTGGAATAGTCTGCAGGAGCCACAGCACCTCACTTGCAATAGTCTGCAGGAGCCACAGCACCTCCTTGTGATTGATTGCAATAGTCTGCAGGAGCCACAGCACCTCACTTGTGATCCATTGATTGCAATAGTCTGCAGGAGCCACAGCACCTCACTTGTGATCCATTGATTGCAATAGTCTGCAGGAGCCACAGCACCTCACTTGTGATCCATAGATTGCAATAGTCTGCAGGAGCCACAGCACCTCACTTGTGATCCATTGATTGCAATAGTCTGCAGGAGCCACAGCACCTGTGATCCAGATTGCAATAGTCTGCACACAGCACCTCACTTGTGATCCATAGATTGCAATAGTCTGCAGGAGCCACAGCACCTCACTTGTGATCCATTGATTGCAATAGTCTGCAGGAGCCACAGCACCTCACTTGTGATCCATAGATTGCAATAGTCTGCAGGAGCCACAGCACCTCACTTGTGATCCATTGATTGCAATAGTCTGCAGGAGCCACAGCACCTCACTTGTGATCCATTGATTGCAATAGTCTGCAGGAGCCACAGCACCTCACTTGTGATCCATTGATTGCAATAGTCTGCAGGAGCCACAGCACCTCACTTGTGATCCATAGATTGCAATAGTCTGCAGGAGCCACAGCACCTCACTTGTGATCCATTGATTGCAATAGTCTGCAGGAGCCACAGCACCTCACTTGTGATCCATAGATTGCAATAGTCTGCAGGAGCCACAGCACCTCACTTGTGATCCATTGATTGCAATAGTCTGCAGGAGCCACAGCACCTCACTTGTGATCCATTGATTGCAATAGTCTGCAGGCTGCAAACCAAAAATAAATCAATAAATAAAAGCACTTTTTTTATTAATCAATATATACAGTATGTGTGCAATTATTATTATTATTGTGCAAATGTTGAACTTTGCCTTTAAAGTGTCATTACAAAATTATTAAAAAGTAATATAAGGTTCCTTACCTTCTTCACAGATCATTTACAGAACCAGGTACAGCCAATGACCCCTAATATCAGGGACAGCAAGGACCCCTAATACCAGGTACAATCCAGGACCCCTAACATCAATCCAGGACACCTGACATCAGTTACAGTCAGGACCCCAAACACCAGGCAAAGGTTTAAGACCCTTTAATATTAGGTACACACAGGAACCCCCAATATCAGGAATAGGCAGTATTCTCTAATACTAAGGACAGTCAGGACCCCCAATATCAGGTACATCCAGGACCCCAAATACTAGATACAGCCTGACCTCTAATACTACATAAAGCCAGGATTTCCAATACCAACTATAGTTAGGGTCCCCCCTATACCAGGAACAGCCAGGACCCCTATTATCAGGGACAGTCAGGACCCCTAGTCAGGACCCTAATATCAGGGACAGTCAGGACCCCTATTATCAGGGACAGTCAGGACCCCTAATATCAGGGACAGTCAGGACCCCTATTATCAGGGACAGTCAGGACCCCTAATATCAGGACAGTCTGACCCCTATTATCAGATAAGCCTGACCCCTAATACTAAGTAAAACCAGGATTCCCAATACCAACTATAACTAGGGTCCCCCAATAACAGGAACAGTCAGGACCCCCAATATCAGGTACATCCAGGGCCCCAAATACTAGATACAGCCTGACCCCTAATACTACATAAAGCCAGGATTTCCAATACCAACTATAGTTAGGGTCCCCCCTATACCAGGAACAGCCAGGACCCCTATTATCAGGGACAGTCAGGACCCCTAATATCAGGGACAGTCAGGACCCCTATTATCAGATACAGCCTGACCCCTAATACTAAGTAAAACCAGGATTCCCAATACCAACTATAACTAGGGTCCCCCAATAAAAGGAACAGCCAGGACCCCTATTATCAGGGACAGCCAGGACCCCTAATACCAGGTGCAGCCAGGACCCCTATTATTAGGGACAGCCAGGACCCCTAATACCAGGTACAGCCAGGACCCATATTATTAGGGACAGCTAGGATCCCAAACACCAGGAAAGGTTTAAGTCCCTTTAATATTAGGTACACACAGGAACCCCCAATACCAGGAACAGCTGGGATCCTCTAATACTAGGTCAGTCAGGACCCCCTAAATCAGGTACATCCAGGACCCCAAATAGATACAGCTGCCCCTTAATACTAAATAAAGCCAGGAATCCCAATACCAACTACAGCTAGGGTACCCCAATACAAGGGACAGTCAGGACCCCTATTATCAGGGACTGCCAGGACCCCTATTATCAGGAACAGCCAGGACCCCTATTATCAGGGACAGCCAGGACCCCTATTATCAGGGACAGCCAGGACCCCTATTATCAGGGACAGTCAGGACCCCTATTATCAGGGACAGTCAGGACCCCTATTATCAGGGATTGCCAGGACCCCTGTTATCAGGAACAGCCAGGACCCCTATTATCAGGGACAGTCAGGACCCCTATTATCAGGGATTGCCAGGACCCCTGTTATCAGGGACAGTCAGGACCCCTATTATCAGGGATTGCCAGGACCCCTATTATCAGGGATTGCCAGGACCTGTTATCAGGGACAGCCAAGAATCTAATACCAGGAATAGCCAGGACCCCAAACACCAGGAAAAGTTTAAGACCCTTTAATATTAGGTACACACAGGAACCTCCAATACCAGGAATAGCCAGGATCCTCTAATACGAAGGAGAGTCAGGACCCCCAATATCAGGTACATCCAGGACCCAAAATAGATACAGCCTGACCCCTAATACAAAGTAAAGCCAGGATTCTCAATGCCAACAACAGCCAAGACCCCTATTATCAGGGACAGCCAGGACCCCTAATACCAGGTACATCCAGGACGTCTGACATCAGTTACAGCTAGGACCCCAAACACCAGGAGAAGTTTAAGACCCTTTAAAATAAGGAACAGACAATACCAGGAATAGCCAGGACCCTCTCCAATATCAACTACAACCACCTAATACTAGGAACAGCCGGGACCCCCAACATTAGGAACAGTTCGGATGTCCAATATCGGGTAAAGCCAGGACCCTCTAATACCAGGATCAGCCAGACTTCCCATATTCAGGTACAGCAGGTCCCCCTAACACCAAGCAAGGCCAGGACCCCAAAAATGACATACATCTAGGCCCCTCCCCAATATTAGTACAGCTGGGACCCCCAACATCATGTACAACCAGAGTGTCCTCAGTACCAGGAACAGCCAGGATCCTGTAATACTAGGAACTGTCAGGACCCCCAATATCAGGTACAGCCAGGACCCCAAATACTAGATACAGCCTGACCCCTAATACTAAGTAAAGCCAGTATTGCCAATACCAACTACAGCTAGGGTCCCCCAATACCAGGAACAGTCAGGACCCCTAATATCAGGAACAGCCAAGACCTTCTAATATAAGGTACAGCCAGGGACCCTAAAAAAAAAAAAAAAAAAAAAAAAAAAAAAGTATAGCCAGGGACTCTAATATCAGTCACAGTAAGGACCCCTAAACACCAGGCAAAGTTGAAGACCCTTTAATATCAGGTACAGACAGGAACCCCTAATACCAGGAATAGTCAGTACCCTCGCCAATATCAACTACAACCAGGACCCCCAATATTAGGAACAGTTAGGATATCCAGTATCAGATTCAGAGAGGACCCTCTATTACCTGGTACAGCCAGCACCCCAAAGATCAGATACAGCGTGGACCCCCACCATCAGATACAGCGAGGACCCTCTATTACCTGGTACAGCCAGCACCCCAAAGACCTGATACAGCGCGGACCCCCACCATCAGATACAGCGAGGACCCTCTGATACCTGGTACAGCCAGGACCCCAAGATCAGATACAGCGAGGACCCTCTAATTCTGGTACAGCCAGGACCCCCAAGATCAGATACAGCGAGGACCCTCTAATTCCTGGTACAGCCAGGACCCCCAAGATGAGATAGAGCGAGGACCCTCTAATACCTGGTACAGCCAGGACCCCCAAGATCAGACACAGCAAGCACCTTCAAACACCAGGTATCAGGTACAAACAAGAATTTCCAATACTGCATACAGCTAGGACCCCTGAACATTAGGACAAGTCAGGTCCCCCATTATCAGGTACAGCCAGGGGGTCCCAATTACCAGGAGCTCCCAATACCAGGAAAAGGCAGGACCCCTAATACCAGGTAAAGCCAGGACCATCTAATAACAGGAACAACCAGCCCCCCCCCCCCCCCCATATTCAGGTACAGTGAGATCCCCCTAACACCAGGTAAAGCCAGGACTGCCAATATTAAGTACATCCAGGACCCCCAATATTAGGTACATCCAGGACCCCCAATATTACATACATCCAAGACCTCCAATATTACATACAGCCAGGACCCCCCAAAATCAGATACAGCTTAATCTCCTATATTGAGGTACAGCAAAGTCCCCCAATACCAGGTTTAGTAAGGTAGAGACCCCGTTATAAGGTACAGTGGTGACCTCCAGTCTCGGGGTAAACCCAGACCCCAAATATCAGGTACAAAACATCAAGCTGCCAATACTAGGTACATCCAGGACCCCCCCAATACATGGTAAGGCCACAAAATCCTTATATTCAGTACAGCCAGGACCCCTAACACCAGGAACAGCCAAGACCCCCAATATC